TACACTTCACTTGCCCACGTTTCGTGGCCCTGCGACACCCAACCCTGCATAACAAACTAGTTCGCCCACATCTCCACCTAACAGATGAGCAATTGCTAGATGTCACTTTATCGATAGATTCTTCAAACCATCAATAACATACTATACCACAGCAAAACTTCCTCAACTCCAACCTCAATCTGTTGGTATATCAGCTTGTAAACATCCCCGATGCTGCACTTGCAACGTACACTTAAACTGTTCCTCTACCTTCACATCGAACCACCCCTACAATCGCACTATCTACCATATACGCCATTCTTTCTCATGCAACTCAGCAAATATTGTCTATTTGATCACATGCACCAAATGCAAGAAGCAATATGTAGGATGTACTACCCAAAAACTGATGGTCAGAATCAACCACCATCGAACAAGCATCAACTCAAGAATACCCACGTATACATACATAAACATTTTAATCCCGATCACTCCATCACAAACCTAAAGCAGTGTTTCCCACAGCATTATAAGAACTGGGCGCTCCGCCCGGATTGAAAAATCCAGAAAATGGGCATGTACAATCATTGCGCATGCAGGGTGCTTATGAATTATTAATTACCTCAGTTTTCAGGCTGAAAAATATTACTTGGTACTCATGGTTCAAAGCACTTCCTGTTGGGAAATCCCTACTGGCCTAAAGCCTTTCAAGTGCTTCTCTATAAGCAGCGTATTACTGTGCACAGTGTAAACCACGCTAGTTGAATTTTACGTGTTTGAATATTACCCAGTGGGAAACACTGTAAACGTACAACCGATCGACAGACCATGCACACCCCAACCATCACCTACAGAACTTCAACACCTTGAAAGTTTCTGGATAAAAACACTCCGAACATTAACACCATACGGTCTTAACAGCCTGTCTTAGACCGGTGTTATATTTTGTTCAGGTAATTTGCACCTTAACACTGATTCCTAACTAGGATAACGAAGGTAGGGGGTCAGGCCTTACCCACAGTGGTGGGGGGCTGCCCCCTCCCCACTGATGTGTTTTTTTACACACACACACACTCACACTCTAATTAATAACATGGGAAGTTTTGACTTTAGTAGACATAACATTCACAACAAGGTATAAAACAGCCAAGCTTGCCTGTAGTAGCTCAGTTAGGAGCAAGAGTGAAGAAAGAAAGAAGTGAAGAATAGAGAAGACCAAAGAAATGAAGCAAGTTATTACTAAGGATACGTAGCTGCTATACTAAAATTGGCTTTAATGTAATGTAGGTTAGTTTGTAAGTACAATAATTGTAGCCATGTAGTAGGCAAATCTGGACTCCAACCAGGTGGAGTGGCCTCGCCCTTTCTGGAATGTCTCACGTGTTGGGAGTTTAAAGAGGCCGAAACGCGTGTGACATGGTGAGGGATTGGGACCTCCCCTGATGACCAGTAACAAAGAGCCTAGCACCGACTACACTCATTGTGTCTAGCAATGCATACATAGCTCTCATTTTCTCCTGAAGCAAATAAACAACAAATCGTAGTCTCGCGGGAGCGAGGGACTATCGCCGAGCTCGAGGCCCGCACGACGCTGCGTAACCCTCCTAATCAGGGAGAGATTACTAATTAGTGAGGACCTTCCAGACCGAGATAGGATCACTGCACTGGTTCTGCCAGGTTAGGTCAGCTCCAGCTCGACCAGCTCCTCAGGACTGACAGATTGTACTTTGTGGTAGCAATTATCACAGCTGAGTCTCCTTCCTATAGAGAAAAAAGGTGACACTTAACACTACTGGCATGGGAGCTCATTTTACCTCATTCTGTAGGTCAATGTTAGCTCCAGCCTCTATTAACAGTGAAACAACTTCAGTCCTACCCCACCTGACAGCCATCATCAGTGGAGAGACTCCATTCTGTTTGAGTATAGTGACACACTATGACTTCATCACACACAAGATAACCACTAAGATGTGATTGCCGAGCGTGTTAGCGTGAGGCAACTACTCCGGGTTGTATTCTCGCGATATACGTATGTGTCCGTCACGCTTAAGAATGTCAATTAGTCACGCTTAGGGAATGTCAATTACTCACGTTTAGGAATGTCAATTTCCGCCGTGTGCGCAGATTCGTAGGAAGTCTGGCTTCGCGCGCGGTCAGTAGAGCGCGCGCACGAGCGGCCTCAGTCGGACTGTTTACGCATTGGCTGGCAGACGCGAGGCAAAATATGCGCGTGCGCATTCCTAGTATTGTTATGTTCATGTGAACTATGGGGTGGAAAGGCATAGGCACAACAAAGAACTCAACTTAACCCAGGACAGTTCTTTATATCAAGAAGAGCTGCCCTAAGCGGGATTCAAAACCCACGACACTCTGCAGTCTAGGCGAGCAGCTCTACCAGCTGAGCTACATATATACCAGGGCACTCAGCTGGTAGGGGTTTAATCTTCAACACAAGTGGCAAAAATCATTTCTTTAAAATGAAGGGGGATATAGGGAAAATGAAGGGGGATATAGGGATGGCTCAAAACATGAAAAAGTAAGAAACAAGGGGTCATTTCACAGCTAACACACACAAAGCTACATGACACCGTCCCTATATCTTTGTCTGATATTATTTTGCAATAGGACAAAGATATAGGGATGGTGTCATGTAGCTTTGTGTGTCTTAGTAGCTGTGAAATGACCCCTTATTTCTTATTTTTCATATTTTTCATATCCCTATATCCCACCCCCCCTTCATTTTGAAGAAATGATATTTCCACTTGTTTCCATTATTTTTATGAAAAGCTCAGACAAATCAGTGCAGAGGCTCAAAATTGTCAAAATTGTTGTAGCTAGCTAGACATTCACGGGTTGTGAACAATATATAGCGCGTATGCGTAATGTCAATTTTTCGCCGGAGCATGCACTACGCCACGTTGGTTGTATATATATTATACGATCCACGGGCTTCTGTCAGTTTTGATCTCTGTTCTTTTTGTTTCAGTGGATAAACATGCTGAGCAAGGTATGTTCGCCATGTAGCATAATAGTTCAGGTGGTGAGCAGTTTGTGGTTGCGGCCATACCATCCCATCTATAAAATGTCTGGCGAGAGTATGCGCGTCACAATGCGCCGAGGGTTTGCACTTCAGTCCTTTGCATTCTTACTGAGTTTTTAGGTCTTTTGTACGCGGATCACGTGAGATTTCACCTGTGCCATCCCTATGTTAGAGCGTCTACCGATGCTCAAATATAACACAACCTCAACCTCCAACCACTGTGCCATGGCACAGTATACTCATGCACACTGTCTACCTTAGCGGAAAAACAGCTTCTCTCTCCGTTTTTGAGTCGGTAGTTAAAAGTTCAAACTTGTACATGGAGAGGGAGAACCTGGGAATTTGAGTATTACCTCTTGTAGGTGAATGTTAGCTCCGGCCTCTATTAGCAGTGAAACAACTTCAGTCCTGCCATTCCTGATAGCCATCATCAGTGCAGAGTCTCTATTCTGTGTGAAGACAGATATGAAAGGTCTGATCACAATGTGTGAGGTGATTTGTCTTACCCTATATCTTCCATTCACGTCCACTCCAGCTGTGATCAGTGAAGTAACTATTTCCGCATATCCCTTTTCAGAGGCAGATCTCAGTAGCTCATATGCCTAGAGTAGAATGACACGGAGCACAGTAACAAAATTCATGGTATTCCTATTGTTTACTGTACTGTGTGAAGTGACACTTGTGCACAAAAAGCCTGAACAAAACCAAGTACTGTAACCATTACAGGTATCGTGTTTAGCATGTTCAGTTTACATGCGGGCCTGGTGCAGCTCCAGCCTTCAGTAGCAGTGAAACGACTTCAATCCTACCATTTTCAACAGCCACTGTCAGTGCAGAGTCTCCTCCCTGTTTGAAGACAGTGAGAAATGTCACAGAAAGTTCATCATGCCACAGATATTCTAGACTGCACTTAGCACATCCTATCTGTGTTGCCCTGATATGCTTGCACCTCAAGTTTGCTGACTTCTGCTCAGCTAACCCTTATATACATTCAAGAATGATACCAACCTGGGCTGTGAGATAGGGGGACCACCGCCTACCATCTACAGTATGACCTCCATCTACTTGGAGATATACATCTACACATTGCAATGTACACCAACTTCAATGCTCTCTACCTAGGACACTGCAGAGAAGGACACCTTTTACACCTCATAACACACATTAATCCACCACAAACCACAGTATATACATACACTGACATAATTGGCGAGTGGGAGCGACCTAACCTAGTGGTCTGTACGACGCGATTCGTCTGTACGTCGTGCTACTGCGCATGCTCTCTTTATCTGAAATGATAAAAAAATTTACACGCTGCCTGTCATGTCCATGCGAATCTAGCCAGTGAGAGAACACTCGTCCATTAAGCGGCATTCGCTGCACTCTTCGATGCCTGACCGAGGCTATACCTCTTTTCAACCTTCGTGGTTCCAAGGTGCAGGTTGTAAATAAGCTAGGATGGCTCGTGCAGATACAGTCATTGTGTGCTCGCTCCCGCTCCCCAAAAATGCCATGCATTCGCCTACTAGTATTACTTCATTCTGTAGGTCAATTTTAGCTCCAGCCTCAAGTAGCAGTGAAACAACTTCAGTCCTACTCATCTCTGCAGCCCACATTAGTGCAGAGTATCCACGCTGTGTGATGAGAGACATGTTTAGTGAGTGAATGGTTCATCACACACTACACTGTCATTACATGTTACAGAATGTGATAATTATGTCTTAAAGATAGCTTCAATGCTCTCTACCCAAGCCCCTTTATAGGACCCCCTTTCACTTCTCAATACACCACAGTAGAACCACCACAGTTCTTACTACAAAACATGTATGTACTAGTTAAAGCACCGCTGCGAGTATAGTCGAGACCACAATAACTTCCGTGCGTAACAGTGTCCCATATCTGGAGACCTTAAGTTTATTCCTGCTACTTTTCAAGTGCTTACTTGGCTCTTCTGGCGTGAAAATTCAAAACAGTTTTGTATTTTTCGGCGGTGCCTTTGATACGCCTACACATCGTACTACAAACTAACATAATTCGTAGGTCAAGGTTAGCTCCAGCCGCTAGTAGCAGTGAAACAACGTCAGTCCTGCCGTCGCAGGCAGCCAACATCAATGCAGACTCTCCTCTCTGTGTGATGTGTAGTGAGACACTTAGAACTAATGATCAGTTGTTACCTTTCTCACTATATATCATTACAACACTTGGCTGTGTATTCTAGACCTCTACCTAGCTGGATACTTCCACTTTCTCACTCCTCATAATACCAAAGTATAGAACCACAACACTTCCTACTAACTACACCTCCTAGTATGTCACTGTAATTATCTTCATTTTACCTTATTCCATAGGTCAATGTTAGCTCCAGCCTCAAGTAGCAGTGAAACAACATCAGTCCTACTCTCCTTGGCAGCCAACATTAGTGCAGAGTATCCATGCTGTGTGAGGAGACAGACATGTGTAGTGAGACACTGATGAATGGTTCATCACACACTAGACTGTCATTATGTTACAGAAGTGATAATTACGTCGTAAAGATAGCTTCAATGCTCTCTACCCAAGCCCCTTTATAGGACCCCCTTTCACTTCTCAATAATTATACCACAGTAGAACCACCACAATTATTACTACAAAACCTACATACATGTATGTACTAGTTAAAGCACTGCTGCGAGTATAGTTGAGACCACAATAACTTCCGTGCGTAACAGTGTCCCATATCTGGAGACCTTAAGTTTATTCGCGAAAATTCAAAACAGTTTAATATATTTCTGCGGTGCCTTTGATACGCCTACACATCTACTCACTCCTCATAATACCACAGTATAGAACACTTCATACTAACTACACCTCTTGTTATGTCACTGTCATTATCGTTATTTTACCTCATCCTGTAGGTCAATGTTAGCTCCAGCCTCAAGTAGTAGTGAAACAACTTCAGTCCTACTCTCCATGACAGCCAACATTAGTGCAGACTCTCCTCTCTGTGTGATGTGTAGTGAGACACTTATAACCTGTTACACTTAGAACTAATGATCAATTGTTACCTTTCTCACTATCATTAGAACACTTGGTCGTGTATTCTAGATCTCTACATAGCTGGATACTTCAACAAGACAACACTTTCTCACTCCTCATAATACCACAGTATAGAACCACAACACTTCCTACTAACTACACCTCCTAGTATGTCACTGTCATTATCTTCACTTTACCTTATTCTGTAGGTCAATGTTAGCTCCAGCCGCTAGTAGCAGGGAAACAACTTCAGTCCTGCCGTTCCTGGCGGCAGATGCTATTGCACAGTTTCCAGCCCGCTGTGTGATGACAGACGTGTGTATTGAGACACTAACACTTTGTAGTAAGGTTCATATTATATGCATGTCTCACCCAGTGTTTGACATTCACATGAACTCCAGCTGTGATCAGTAAAGTCACTACTTTCACGTCTCCTCTCTCAGAGGCAGGTATCAATTCATTATTCTAGAGTATTATACACAGAGTGTAACTCATTCACAAGAAGAGCAACAACATTATCTTTGACCTGTGCATTCTAGCTACATGTGCTTAGAGTGAGCAAGGTTCGAATTGACCAAACAGATTGCAAAGCCAAGGTTTACTATTTCCCGTAGTAAACATACTGCAGCAAAAAATAGAAAAATAGAATACCTACAGATGAAAAGCACTAAAGTGAAAACCTTCGGTGAACTGTGCATGCGCGATACTGCTAATTGATGGGCTGGGTTATTAGCTCGTGGGCTCCCGCTAGTAGCTCGCAGAGTCTGACATGGGCTAGCTACAGTAGTATATAGCATGCGGGAGTCGATACATGCCCTTCGTTGTGACTTGTAAGCAGTGAACAAGCTACACTCCTCATCAAGCATTAATTGCATGCTCAGCCAGCGTGCGATCTATAGTTAAACAAAACGATCAACAACTGAACACTACATTGATACATCCCGCAAAACCAGAAAGATAGCGGAGTCACTAGTCTCTGCCGCTTCACTATTGTGCTTCACTCTCTGAGCCTGTCTCCATTGAGTCATTACCCTCGGCACGCATGTGCAGCTAGGGTACGGTAGTTGGGTCTGTGTGTCTGTCTGTCTGTCTGTCTGTATTTGCATGCTCAGCCAGCACTCACGTGCGATCCGTAGTTTAAACAACAAGATCAACAACTGAACACTACATTGACACATCGTCCACACGCACAACCAGAAAGATAGCGGAGTCACTGGTCTCTGCCGCTTTGCTCTTGTGCTACATTTTCTGGCCTGTCTCCATTGAGTCATTGTTATAGAAGCGCTCTGCCATACCAACAAACATGAAAAAGCTAGAGCGCTAGTTGCCTCGAATCAGCTTCTAAATATTATTTGTTAACCCTCGGCATGAATGCACAGCAAGAGTTACAGTACTTGGTTTTTAAGTGTGTGTGTGTGTCTGGCTGTCTGCCTGCGTATATTACTGCCACCACACACAACAAGCCAGCTAAAAAGCGTTATAAACAGATTCAGCGCTATGTTGGCTTTACTTTGGCACTTTAGTGTTTTTCATTATACATAGTGTGGGATTCTGAACATTGGGAAGTCTGTTATCAATCATCTTAAGATTCTCCTGTATTCAAGTTAAGTTATTAACCCTCGGTGCGCATGCGCAGCGAGGGTTATGGTAGTTGGGTCTGTCTGTCTGTTTCTCACTTCTCGAATGTTTTTTCGTCTCACAAACGATACTATACCTACTTAACGGGCAATGTAGGTCAGAAAGTTTGTGCGGTTTTCTCTGAAAACGCTCAGTTGCAAAGCTAGAGCGCTTCAAGCATTGTACGGCTAATTCCGGTAGTTGCTCTGTGTATCTTGAAGGCACAAAAAGTCACAACGAAGGGCCTGTATCGACTCTCGCATGGTATCTACTACTGTAGCCAGCCCGTGTCAGACTCTCTGCGAGCTACTAGCGGGAGACCACGAGTAAACGCACACTAAAAGCCCAGTCCATGTACCGCGCATGCGCAGTTCGCCGAGGGTTTGCACTATTAGTGATTTTCATAGCAAGTGAAGAGACTAATATTCACTTAAGCCTGGAAGTCATTGTGTAAACTGTTTACAAAGTACCTCATACTTTACTTATGGCATACTTTTCTTATGGGACATACAGACAACTTTCGTATAAAATGCCTCATTAACTTCTGCCCTGTTTGTGCATCATGGATGTTACATGTGAGAATGGGATCCAGCATTGCCCATAACACTATACAGAGCTAAAGGCAAGAAACGGAACTCGACTGAATAATAGATAATGGTAAAATCGGTAGTTGCATATGGACACATGTGCAAATGTGTGCTGTGGAGGAGGCTGTGCTTGCTGGACATACTGGCTTAATTCAGCTACTGTGCAGGCAAAACCTTGGGTTTCTTACCAGGTACATTGAGAGATCTCGACGCAACCAAGCACGGACAACAGCAACATTAGTAACAAGATGTTTTTGTCTGAAGTTAGGAGTGAAGGCCACACCCACCATCCAAACAACCTCCTCGTGAACACGCAACCCTACACATACAGAGCCCTCCCCTGGGGTTTCAATGTACATGGCATAGGACTCCAGAGATGCCGCCTCCTCGATGGACCCCTTCAACTCTCGGATTTCATACAGCGAACACTCTGAGGGTGGCTTGTTGATCTTCGTGGTCATGCGGATGAATCCTTCGCTAACTTTACCACCAGGACGAGCGGAAATGGCACATAGGTACACATCGACTGTGGTGGACTTTTCAAAAGCGATGAGAGAGTCACGATAACCAGTCATTCTTCCCTTCAGATCATGACAGAATCTCTTGACAACGTGGAAGATAATCTCATAGTTGGAGTAGTTGCAGTAGCGACCTAGGATAATAAATAGCTTTTGAATGTTCTTAGCCTTAAGGATTTCGTCCTCATTTCTGCTGAAGAATCGAATATGAACTTGCTTCTTCGCAACAGGTAACTCTAGAAGGTGCTCTCGGAACATTTCAAAAAAATCGGAATCTTGTTTCTCCTTTTTCGTTAACGATTGCCTGGTTTTGAACTTGATGTCGGAAAATTCTTTCTCCAAATGCTCTATATTTGCCTCAACCTCTTCTACGTTATTAGCATGTGGCGATGTAACGGAAACAGGGAGAACAGCAGGCTTGGGAAGGGAGGGATCGCAAGTCGATAGCGCTTTTGGGTGATGCTCAGACTCAATCGCAGTTGCCAAGGAGTTCATATTGATGTTCCTCAGCCCAGCAACCAGCTTGTCCCAGCTGCTACCAGGGGTCATATCTAGCCACGCCTGCACAAAGTGGTGCTTCCGATTTTCCCCCTTGTACGCCTCAGCAATATCATCCAGGACCTTGAGAGGTACGCCCATTTGGAACACTAGCTGTCTCGTTTCTTCCACAGTCAGTCGGCTAATAGCATTGCTCACTTCCAATGTCGACAGCTTACTGCTCAGGTTACTGGAGGCGGCCATTTTGACCTATATCGGGAATAAACAGTCTTGACGCGCGGAGGCCGTAGCGCGTCCGTGGTTTTACACGGACCATCCCCAGTCCACCAGCTACTTACTGAATTCCGAGCAGGACCAACTGGACCGGTTAACACACCCTGATCTCTCGCCCTACAGACACGGGCACGGACTACTGTACTACCGTACGGTATATACAACTACTACCGTCCGTATGATGGCGGAACGCCGTTTCCGCCAAAAGAGTAAGGGCTGTCAAAAATCGATCTTTAACTCGTCGATTTTTGGGGGAAAATCGTTGTCTAAATCATTAATTTTGGGGGGGAAATCGTTCTCTACTTTTACTCGATTTTGGGTGGGAAAATCGTTCTATAAATCGATCTTGCACTCGATTTTCTTGGGAAATCTTTCTCTAAATCGACCTTCGTGTGAACGCCCCCCTTTTTTCCGCGAGGCGATCTCCAATCAGATCGCAGAACGGCCAATTAACGCCATTTGCATCCTTAGTCCGCGGATTTTGTGGGCTGGCTATAATAATTATCAGTGATCGATTTTTGACTGGCGGAGAGCCGGCTGGTGGCTAGCAGCCCTGCCCCTTTCTACAATCAAGGGCAAGACGTCTGTGTTGCCTGCTCTTTTCTAGGAGGTTAAACATGTCAAACACATTACCACTGCAGGATAGAACCCTGAAGGTGCACTGCATTCTTGGATGTAGAACTGTAAACATAACTACACCGGCTAAACAGAACAAGGTCGTGTGAACACCTTTCGTTTTTGTTGCAGAGTCACACGACCATTGTGTGTAAATCTTTCTTTCCAGGTAGTCACATGTCTGCACGCACGCAGCTGCCAAAGTGAAACACGCACGAGGGGGAAACCGTGATAGGAACAACACAACAACAGCAACACACATACACACGTGTAAAACTTAGGCACTCTTGGGTTGTGGTTTTTCTGTGTCCCATATCAATGGTTTGGGGTTTTCACACCAGTGTTCCTCCACCTACTCCGCGAGGGCTAGAGGGAGAGTTAGGTGATGGGTAGTGGACGGCACGGCTCCTGGAGGTCACGTAGCCCTGGCTCCTGGTGCGGTGCATGCCGGGAAGATACCCGCCGACCGGCTGCGAATGGTGGTGGACTTCAGCCGGCTGCTGCGACAGGGACACGAACCTCCTGTTGGTGTCAAACTCTGTGTACGGTGGAGGAGGGGAAGAGGGAGGGCCAGGGGGGAGCGGTTCGTCGGTGAGACTCAGAGGAGGTTCCCGAGTGTGAACTCTGTGCACCTGGGGTCCGCTCTCGGAGCTGCGCCGCTCACGTGTGCTCCCGGGACGACTCGTCACTCCCGGAGAGGGGCGGGGTTGTGACGGGCGGGACTGGTGGGTGGAGTTTGAGTGACGGGATTCCTGGGAGTGGGTGCGGTGGCGTATCGGGTCGAGGGTGATGTCATCCAGTCGTGGGGAATTCCCTCCAACAGGGGTGGCAGCAGTGGGGGTGTGACAAGCTGAACCAGCTAGAGGTGTGTGTGTGTGCAAGAGAGAGTATATATAATCGAAGGATGCAGACACAAGACCATGCAGTGCACAGTAATGACTTGCTCACTACAGAAGTGCCACATTCACACACTTCAGTACGTATATAATTCTTGCCAGATGCACTCCCTCCATATGTGAACACTACATTATGTACTTTGTCTATGTCATGTACAGTATATAAATGTCACGTAAGTCACTCTTTTATGTATTATGCATGGTGCATATTAATCAGTCTATACCACTGTGGTGTCGACTGGCTACAGTTCATGGCCATACAATAATGGTGTTTGCTCAACTTACATCTGACAGAGACTTTAGAGTCAGCAGACACCTCTCTCAGACAGCCGGACGGAACAAACCCCTCCTCCTGGACACTGCTGGCATGTTTCACAACCCAGAACCAGTCCCTGTCGTCCTGGTTCCACACCGACACGTGCTCCCCCTTCCGTATGGCTATCTCGTTCTCGTCGAGCGGGTCAAAGTCGTGCGTCACGACAAACACGCCCCAGACAGTCTTGCGAAACTTGGTGATCTGAGTCTCGTTGTGGTTCCAGTTCTGCTGGCGGCGTTGGTGTCGCAACACCAGCTGCTGGTCACAGCGAGCACCGGCCGCCACGGAGGACACCCTCAGAGGAGGAGGAGGAACAATTCTCTGTCTCCCTCCTCTTGAGCTGCCAGAGTTCTGTCTGATCTCCACCACCTCCTTGTACACTCTTGCCTTCTGTTAAATCGAAATAACAAGAATTATTTACTCACATATTAAGCCATATATTTTGATGCTAACTACAGTGGAACCTCCAAACAAGGAACATTATGGGGCCAACAATTTGTCCCTTGTAGAGAGGTAGTCCCTATGTTGGAGGTTCCACCGTAATTGCATTAGAGCCCATATTTCACTCGCATGGTGAACCAAAGCAAGTTTTCGGTCAATTGTGGTAGAGCCCACAGCATTGCATCATAGCAAGCAGTAAACTATACTTGGTATACTCATTCACTCTATCCAGGCTAAGATTTACAGATGGGAATACCGCACATAGTGCCAAATTCGTGGTTTTGTGGGTATAAAAGTCGTAATGAGGGGAAAATGCGAGATCATCAGTAACTGACTTACATAGCATTCCACAAACTCCATTGCAGCAAAATAATTGCAAAGTAAGTACGGTGATTAAGGTATTGTTCTACATAAAATATGGGCGAAATGTAAGTAAGCTCGAAACACACTGATAGTGCAGCAGGTATATACCGATACCGATAGCTGGTACTGATAATGTAGCAGGTACTTCTATGAAAATCTACACATACAAACTAATGAGATTCATCCCCACAAGGCTTTGCCACTGGTACATGTACAAAAGTTACACGTAAACGACTACCATAATGTTAGGGAGATATCAATATTACTTTTACAGCACTGGCGCTCCTTGGTGGGTATTTTTTATGAAAATCACCTTTTAAAAAATCAAGCCAGTGTAGCACTGAACCCGTTACTATCGCTGTTTCTCCGATTTATTACGTGTGGTGACAGAAAACTTGGTAACAGACAGACAGACAGAAGGACAGAAAAAAGGACAGACGGACGGACAGAGAGACACTTACGAACCAAGCACAGTAACCCTTGCTGTGCATTCGCGCCGAGGGTTAAAAAGCACTGTTAGCTATAAACGTACAATGTTAACCATTTGAACGTACCTGAGCCGACAGTGACGATACTGAGAGCTCCAGAACACTCTGTGCAGCTGTTTACCACTGACTCTCTGGTGCTGACATGTGTAATAGAACTCATTCCAGAGGCGGATTCTTACGTGGCAGTCAACTTTCAATGGAGGGGCCACTCGTCCCTCACTGATAGTGGGAGGAGGGTCATGGTGTCTGAACTGGAGGGAGTACACCTTAAGTACAATACATCTGTGACATTTAACACACTGAAATCCACAGACAGTGACTCCTATACTTGTTCAGCCGCTGTTGGCCCTCAGGAACGAAACAATCATCTGATATCAAGCATTTCAGTTGGTAATTGGTACATATATATTATTTTTGTAGAAATCAATGGGGAATGTGCTGGAACATGACGATGCTTCTATTTTTCAGCCCTGAAAGTAACCATTGATGTGACCTACAACCCTCCATCTGACTTCAGTCCACCATACTATCGACCTGCCACATCACTAACTCTCACCTGTGGTGCTCACCATCCCATTGGATTAGTTCAGTTATCGATGGTCCTCGATTTGTAGTAGCTGTTTTGCAAGAAGCATCATCTCAATCAATCACCAAGACCACATTGCAGTCGATTGATGCGGGAGTACACATGTGTACAGCAACCGATGGCAGTGGAAATACTGGAAGCAATACAACGGAAATGAGGATGATGGGTAAGAGCATTTTTGTTTGATCACTAAACAAGTGAACTTCCTATTTCTGTAAGAAGTGGAATGTATGTACAGCGAAGCTATTACATTAGGGACAGAGCAGTTGCAAACAACAGCTTCATTTTGAAGGGGACCATGTCTTCAACTTACATCAATGTTTACTGCTACTCAAACTCCACTTCGGGGGGAACTGGATACTTCAAACTTTCGGATGGAGTGAGGCAATACTCTACCTCAAATTACAACAACTACAGAATTGGACAACTCAGTAACACTGGTGTTAGTATTGCACGCTATTCAAGCAGCTACTACCCACAAATATTCGGTATATTTACCTGTGAAGTGCCAGACAGTAGAGGCGTTACTGTTGAAACCAGCATCGGGATATATTCTTCAATGCCCAGTGAGTTCCTCATTGTTCATTCTTACAGTAACCTTTTGCTTGCTGCGCATGATACAGGTCCACCATCTGTGTACAGCATTAGTTACAGTGAGCGTCACCAGGCTAGTAACGATGGTGTACTAGGAACAGTCGATTATCTGAGCCAGAACTCCCCACCTACTAATGTGACGTGGACAAGAGACGGGTCAACTATTGAGGTGGATGGGGAGGGATACGAAATGATGCAAATGGTGACAGAGCGTCAGTCGTATTCCAGATACAGAAACACTCTACTCATCAAGGATGCTGCCGAGCTTGCCGGGAACCATAGTTTTTGCTGCAGGGTCTCTAATGCTGCCGGTACCACTTATCAGTGTGTTGCCACATCATGGACAGGTTCGCTTAGGAACTGAAGGCACACCTACTAATAATTTGACTTTCTTTCCTCTGTTTGATTCAGCTCAGCCCGATGTACATATAGTTACATATGGGAAGAATGTCCACTCTGAGACATTTGAAGTCACCTGCAGAGCTAGCCTCCAGCCAGCGGTTGCTGCTCACCTCAACCACTATATGACAGTAGACAGTAGTCTAAACTGAGGGGTCTGACATGGGTGGAAATCTCGTACGCTTATGGTCAGAAATCCATAGAAATCAGTTGGAAATCAAGGGAAATCATTGAAAAGTGGAAATCAGAAATCAAGTTGCCGTGCGTGCACGGCTTTTCTGCACCATATAGCTCCGTTCACTATAGTAAACTACAAGGCTGACCCTGCTGCGGCATGTGCACACGCGAATCACTCACTCCGGCCGGCTGGCCGGCCACACCGTGATGCGTTACCGCCGGATCAAGTGTGCGCTCACATAATAGCATGCTCTGGGGTTTGCACAAAACTAAAACCATCAGGGTAGTGCCTTGCTTGCTCGGCCTTGGCCGCTCAGGATAGCAGCCAGAGAGGCATTATAAATAAGTAGGAGGGAATAAGAATTTTTGTAGAAAATCCCTTGGGACTCCTCCCACCTAGCCGGCCTACCACAACTTCAACCTCACGTGATTGAACGGAGGCTTGAGTCTATACCTGAGAACAACATTTTACTTTACAGGCACAGAAAAGATTGTTTCTGTAGCTGGCTATAATTTGCTCAATGGCATACGTGCGCCGGCGACAGTATTATGGGCCTCAGTGTTCTGTGGCACATGACTACTGTTTGTGCCAGTAAAGGGAACTCCATAGGGAGTGTACAGTTATAGAACCCTCGAGAGACCGAGAAATCCATAGAATATCAGTAGAAATCACGCGGAAATCTGGAAATCTTTTGAAAATCACGGAAATCTGAGAAATCACGTGAAATCAGTATGAATAAGTTGGAAATCGCGGGCTTTTAGAAATCTCGTGTATACGTCAAAACGGCTCATTTCGGACCCCCCCGGTCTAAACCACTTGACGCGCGGATCAGTAGCGCGTCCGCAGTTTTACACGGACCATCTCCAGTCCACCATCAGTATTACAGAGAGACAGCTACTTACTGAATTCCGGAGCAGGCAAACAGGATCAGTTGACACACCAGGATCAGTTGACACACCCTGATCTCCGCCCGAACTATACTGTCACGGTCCGCCCATCGCGCATGCGTAAAACCCGTACATGCCCCGCCTACCGCCGGTGTGCATACTGTACTGGATACGGTCTACCTGACCTGCATGCAACAGTTTCTAAGTCGCAGGCCCACGAAGGGCAATGTAGTGGAGAAGACAGAGGAGGGGACCAGCATCGAGAACTTCTCTCTGTGGGTTCGTGTGAGGATTGGCTAGTGGCTATGGCTGGTGTTGCGAAACATGTCAAATACACTACCACTGCAGAATAAAACCCTGAAGGTGCACTGCATTCTTGGGCGTAGAACTGTAAATACAGAACAAGGTCGAGTGAACACCTTTCAATCTTAGTTTTTGTTGCAGAGTCACACAACCATCGTGTGTAAATATTTCTTTCCAGGTAGTCACGCACGCAGCAGCTGCCAAGTGAAACACGCAGCGAGGGGGAAAATGTGATAGGAACAACACAACAACAGCAACACACACACACTGTAAAACTTAGGCACTCTTGGGTTGTGGTTTTTCTGAGTCCCATATCAATGGTTGGGGGTTTTCACACCAGTGTTCCTCCACCTACTCCACGAGGGCTAGAGGGAGAGCTAGGTGGTGGGTAGTGGACGGCACGGCTCCTGGAGGTCACGTAGCCCTGGCTCCTGGTGCGGTGCATGCCGGGGAGATACCCGCCGACCGGCTGCGAATGGTGGTGGACTTCAGCCGGCTGCTGCGACAGGGACACGAACCTCCTGTTGGTGTCAAACTCTGTGTACGGTGGAGGAGGGGAAGAGGGAGGGCCAGGGGGGAGCGGTTCGTCGGTGAGACTCAGAGGAGGTTCCCGAGTGTGGACTCTGTGCACCTGGGGTCCGCTTTCGGATAGGAGCTGCGCCGCTCACGTGTGCTCCCGGGACGCGACGGACGGCGGCTCGTCCCTAGGCCCTCCCGGAGAGGGGCGGGGTTGTGACGGGCGGGACTGGTGGGTGGAGTTTGAGTGACGGGATTCCTGGGAGTGGGTGCGGTGGCGTATCGGGTCGAGGGTGATGTCATCCAGTCGTGGGGAATTCCCTCCAACAGGGGTGGCAGCAGTGGGGGTGTGACAAGCTGAACCAGCTAGAGGTGTGTGCAAGAGAGAGTATAATGGAAGGATACAGACACAAGACCATGCAGTGCGCAGTAATGACTTGCTCACCACAAAAAGTTCCACATTCACACCTTGCCAGATGCACTCCCTCCATATGTGAACACTGCATTATGTAACTGATTTTGTCTATGTCATGTGTATCGTCACTTTTTTGTATTATGCGTGTGTGCATATTAATCAGTCTTTCACTGTGGTGTCGATTGGTTACAGTACATAGCCATACAATAATGAGCAAACTCTTTTGCTCAACTTACATCTGACAGAGACTTTAGAGTCAGCAGACACCTCTCTCAGACAGCCGGACGGAACAAACCCCTCCTCCTGGCCACTGCTGGCGTGTTTCACAACCCAGAACCAGTCCCTGTCGTCCTGGTTCCACACTGACACGTGCTCCCCCTTCCGTATGGCTATCTCGTTCTCGTCGAGCGGGTCAAAGTCGTGCGTCACGACAAACACGCCCCAGACGGTCTTGCGAAACTTGGTGATCTGGGTCTCGTTGTGGTTCCAGTTCTGCTGGCGGCGTTGGTGTCGCAACACCTGCTGCTGGTCACAGCGAGCACCGGCCGCGGAGACACCCTCAGAGGAGGAGGAGGAACAATTCTCTGTCTCCCTCCTCTTGGGCTGCCCGAGTCCTGTCTGATCTGCACCACCTCCTTGTACACTCGTGCCTTCTGTTATAAATCGAAATAACAAGAATTAATTTTGATGCTAACTACAGTGGAACCTCCAAACAAGGAACATTATGAGGCCAACAATTTTGTCCCTTGTAGAAAGGTAGTCCCTATGTTGGAGAGTCCCTTATTGGGGGTTCCACCATAATTGCATTAGAGCCCATAACACTCAGTGATACTGAGAGCTCCAGAACACCCTGTGCAGCTGTTTACCACTGACTCTCTGGTCCTGACATGTGTAATAGAACTCATTCCAGAGGTGGATTCTTACGTGGCAGTCAACTCTCAATGGAGGGGTCACTCAGCTTTAACTGATAGTGAGAGGAGGGTCATGGTGTCTGAACTGGAGGGAGTACACCTTAAATACAATACATCTGTGACATTTAACACACAAAATCCACGGACAGTGGCTCGTATACTTGTTCAGCCACTGTTGGCCCTCAGGAACGAAACAGCTGTCTGATATCAAGCAGTCGCACTGCAGAGATAATTAGCATAAGTTGGTAGCTATATATATCTTTGTAGAAACCCGTACCAATGGGGAATGTGCTGGAACAGCATGATGATGCTTCCATTTTCAGTAACCATTGATGTGACCTACAACCCTCCATCTGACTTCAATCTGCCCAGTCCACCATACTATCGACCCGCCACATCAGTAACTCTCACCTGTCGTGCTCACCATCCCACTGGATCAGTCAGTTATCAGTGGTCCTCGACTTGTAGCAGCTGTTTTGCAAGAAGCAGCTCATCTCAATCAATCACCAAGACCACATTGCAGTCGATTGATGCGGGAGTACACATGTGTACAGCAACCGATGGCAGTGGAAATACTGGAAGCAATACAACGGAAATGATGATGATGGGTAAGCATTAATTTTTGTTTGATCACTACACAAGTGAACTTGCAATTCTATAGGAAGTGGAATGTATGTACAGGGAAGCTATTACATTAGGGACAGAGAAGTTGCAAACAACAGCTTCATTTTGAGGGGGACCTCGTCTACAACTTGCATCAATGTTTACTGCTACTCAAACTCCACTTCGGGGGGAACTGGATACTTCAAACTTTCGGATGGAGTGAGGCAATACTCTACCTCAAATTACAACTACTACAGAATTGGACAACTCAGCAACACTGGTGTTAGTATTGCACGCTATTCAAGCAGCTACTACCCACAAATATTCGGTATATTTACCTGTGAAGTGCCAGACAGTAGAGGCATTACTGTTGAAACCAGCATCGGGATATACTCTTCAATGCCCAGTGAGTTCCTCATTGTTCATTCTTACAGTAACCTTTTGCTTGCTTCACATGATACAGGTCCACCATCTGTGTACAGCATTAGTTACAGTGAGCGTCACCAGTCTAGTAACGATGGTGTACTAGGAACAGTCGATTATCTGAGCCAGAACTCCCCACCTACTAATGTGACGTGGACAAGAGACGGGTCAACTATTGAGGTGGATGGGGAGGGATACGAAATGATGCAAATGGTGACAGAGCGTCAGTCGTATTCCAGATACAGAAACACTCACTCATCAAGGATGCTGCCGAGCTTGCCGGGAACCATAGTTTTTGCTGCAGGGTCTCTAATGCTGCCGGTACCACTTATCAGTGTGTTGCCACATCATGGACAGGTTCGCTTAGGAACTGAAGGCACACCTACTAATAATTTGACTTTCTTTCCTCTGTTTGATTCAGCTCATCCCGATGTACATATAGTTACATATGGGAAGAATGTCCACTCTGAGACATTTGAAGTCACCTGCAGAGCTAGCCTCCAGCCAGCGGTTGCTGCTCACCTCAACCACTATATGACAGTAGACTGGATTGGAGCAGACGGACAGATCATTAATGAAGAACATGACGACATCACTGTCAACGACCAGAGCACTGTCTCCAATGATGTCACAAGATCCCTTGTCTTTGACCCTCTGAAGATGGCCCATGGAGGTAGCTATGTGTGCAGGGCTAAACTGACGTTGCCTGGCTCAGCCGGTGTATTCCAGAATGTGGGCGAATATCAACTAAGCGTTTTGAGTAAGACATTAGCTTTTTGTAGGACTGGTGTGATCATCTCATGCGTATCATTTACGTTACAGACATGACTTTTATTCAACTAAAGTTTGGCCCAGTTCCCCATTGCTCAACGTGGTATGAAGACAAGGTGAAATATAGCACAAAACAATGTTGGCTAACCAAGTTCAGTCATAATAACTCAGCGCTACCGAAACATTTGGTGTCTAGCTTTGACTAAGATTATTGTATTTATGTCAGGTAGAGTATAGCACAGTTATGATGAATGATTTTCCAGCATATGTCAAGACATCTGGAGCTGGATGTCAAGCAGACACTAACCAATCTCATCAACAAGAATTGCAGTTGTGACTTCAAAATCTCTGAGATTGATCTGGGAGAGTTCAGCTGTCGCTCCATTGAAAAGGGCTACGTTCTATACAGGTAATAGTCCCTCGAAGAAGACTGAATACTGACTTATGATAACCACACTCTTTGAATCCTCAGGGCAAGGCTAACTGGAAGGAGTGATACTCAGAACATACATTCACTGCTGGAGGTGATCAAGGACTGGATGGCCAATGACGGGACATTCCTGTACACCTATCATGGGAACATGAGACTGGGACTGGACCAAGACTGTCCTCTGGAGATTGCCTCCTTCTCCCAGCCAGAGTTTGGGAAGCAAAATACTGGACCACAATAGACTGGTTGACTGTTAACAATGATACATTATACCTGTGTGCCAAGTTTTGCAGTACTAGCTAATTCTTATCCAGTTGCACTTGGCAGAATAGGTTGTTGACTGTTGTTATGAAATATGTATAGTGTGAGAATTGAGTGGCTTGTCATTATCAACACAACGGGCATGTGCAAACATCGCGTCTACGGTTCAAAGGTGGATTCGCTCACCAAAATGTGTTCTAATAATTAATCCTCTTATCATAATTATAATAATTTATACCCAATGCCGAAAAGTGTGAAATGTGTCTTCGACAAATTAATTTTTAACCATGTGTGTCTCTTTACGCAACACATTTTCAATGATAGTAGTAGGGAACAAGAGATCTTCAAGCACAAAAAACTGGATGCTGTGATGTTTAGAATGACGTTTAGACGAGAGATTTCTAACAGAGTCACGTTTTATCTAATATTACATGCTTATTCATAAGAACTGAGCAACCAGTTCGCAAGCTACAGCAACATAGTTCTTCACCGAGGGTTGCATTTTTGAAAAACTGATGTGAGCATGAATAAATAATAAGCAGTGGTGTGAGAATAGATAATGGGCAAATAAGCAGTGATAAATAAAGTGTGAGAATAAATTATGAGCAGCGTTTTATAGTGTTAGAATATTAACGAGTAATGATTGAGAATAATTATAATATGATGAGCAGTGCAGTGAATGTGAGATGCAATAAGTTATTGCTCATGTTTAAGGAATCGTCTTTCCTCCTTAGAAAATCTGCAGAAAAGAATGCAACACAAATTCATTGTTGATATCAGACCCAAGATGGATGCACTCTGCTCCTCAGTTTCTTCTTCATTTCCATGAATTTCGTCTGGATCATCATGGTCCTGCTCTACCATCGACTGCAGAAAAGGAATATGCACCAGTCAAAACTAGCTACAAACATTGAGCTTGGTAGCTAATGCTGTGTACAGCACAAATCCCCAGTAATGTGTAGAGTCATTACTCACGGCTTCAATCTGCTTGATAAGATTGAGGATGTACGGTGAGAGCCTCTTTCTTGGTGTCTGTCGTTGCAAGTAAAACGGCTGAAGGAAAGCAAAAGAAAAGAGAAGATAAGTGTGATACTGTCAAAACAGTGGTGGAGAACAGACACTCACAGTGTCCAGGTCCTTAGATGGAGGCTGTGGTGGTGATGAAGGAGTCAGAGGAGTGAGAGACCGTGGGGAGAGTTAGGTGAAGCCACTCCTGGTGGTGACTGGAACATTCCTCCGTCACTCTCAACACCACTGCCCTCATCATCAGTCACCTCTTCAACAGTTTTTTCATCATCATCGTCAGGACCATCTTCCCACACATCATCTTCGGTCTTTTCACTGCAATCATCAGGATCCTCCCCCTAATTATCAAGACCATCATAGTCAATACACTACATCTCCTCCCGTTCTAATCTGTCAGCTGTCCATAAAGGCGATCTGGTTGACGGCCCATGAGTGTCAGATATCGAGGACGATGACCCTTGCTTTCCACTGAGGGTACCGACGGATGCGGAGTTACGGGTGTTCCAGGTGATTCAACCAATGGTACTGGAGATCGCGAGGTCTCAGGCGAGGTCACTATTTCTCCCTCCCCGAGTTCAGTTGGAATCGTTTCCTCAACCGTAGCCTCTTCCGCTGAAAAGTGCATCGGTGGAGGGTCCCAGTTCACCTGTGACTCCCTCCTTGGCATTTCGCTTTCCGTCGGACCGGTTCAGACGTGTAGTTGATCGATGTGTCAACGCCACAACTCTCCCCCATCCAACTCCACCGGGTACGATCATGGACCTAATATGTGACAGATGACCTCGTTTCGCCAATGTGGCCCCTCCAGCAGATTTCAGGCCAATACTTCCTGACCTACCCCCAACTCCCGATGTTGACAGTGCCGATCGTAGTACATTTTCCGTTAGTTTGCTGTTTTCGCACGTTTGACTCTAAATCCGGAGTTACGAGATCCAGCCGAGTGCGGAGGTTTCGTTTGCAAAACAGAGTACAAGAGGCAACACCTGTAGTACTGTGCGGGGTTGTGCGGTATTGCAGAAGGAATGTAGCCAGTGCTTGTGAATGCGAATATACTCTGGCAGGCATTGAAATTTCATGACAGTGCCTCACTCTTGAGCTGGGCTGAGAGTTCAAGCATACTGTAGTCTGTCGGGTTTTAGGTGACCTGTTTACTACAACTTGCAGCAGTTCTTGTCTCTCTAAAACGTACACATGCAAAATTCTGATATAACATTGGAAAATAGGCATGGTAGCAAGTTAGACAAAAATGCAATTCATTGTTAACCTCTCTCCAAATTATTGTTTTCATATCCGTCTACATCATAATGATCATAGTAGCGTGTGTATTCAGAGCTGTTCAAAATTCAGTCGGATATAGGAAAGGCTAACAGAATTGAAAGGAAAGACAAAATCTAAGTTTTCTAGAGATTGTGCAGTGTTGTGAGTCTTTGCTGTTTTACAACCCATTTTTGCTGTACTTTTTGTTGCTTTGAGCCCTCTTTACAAAATTGTAGGATGTAGGATGGGGTTAGAGGCCTTGTCCAGTTAATGTCCCTCTTTATCCCTTGTTAATCATCCAGTCCAGTCTAGTCGTTTATCGCAATGAGGGATTAAAGGAGAGTTAATGTCTCTCTTTATCCCTTGTTAATTATCGGTGCGCATGCAAAAACATGTCCGAAGAGCCAACCCATGACTTTAAAGTTTGCTTATAAACATGCTCCAAACAGTCATAATAATAATAATACTCAGGTGGCTGCCATAGCACTAGGGCCATAGACCACGCACCCAGAGCAATGGGCGGAACCGTTAACACACGAACATACACCATATGAACATGAGGTGTCTGTCTCACCTCCCAGACACCTCAACTCACCCCTTCCACCAGCGACACCCTGCAGCTCCCCAGACGCAATCTGAGACTGGGTTTGTTGTACACAGGGACTATCGCCGTATAACCTAACCTTTCTTAGCTCCCAAACATCCAAAATAAAATCTTTAACAAGGCCAAGCAAAGAACCAAAATTATCCTCCCACAGTTCACTACCCAATATAAAGGATGCTTTCCTGAAACTATCAAGCGACTGGAAATGCTCAAACCCATCATCCCCAAGCTTCCCCTGCAGGGCAACTAAGAAATTGCTCCTAAGACTACTATATGCTGGACACTCCCACAACACATGACTCACACTTTCACACTCATCATCACACAACAGGCACTCTTTCACCCCCTCCCTCCCCCTATGCCTGCCCAGTTCCTCATTTAGCCCATGCGTGCCTGACCTGAACTTAAACATTAATCTAGACCCAGCATCACTTTTCCCATGCAAGTACTTTTTGAACTCTACCACCTTGTTAAATGTCTTATACAATAACAGCTTTACTTTGCTATTTAGCCCCTCTTCAAACTTTCTAATCTCCCTCTCATTAATACTGTCCCCTATTATAGACAAAAAGCCCTTCAAGGAGCAATCCCCATTTTGAATATCATGCAACCACTCTGCCTTGTCAAGACCTAATGACGAAAAGAGATCATCAATGACCTTACTCCAACCCTTCCTCTGCCTGCCTCTCCGTGGCTTAAAATTCCATTCCTGATTAAAAAGCTTCTTCGGATACCTATTGCCTGGCAATGCCGCTAACTTATACCACCACTTCAACTTATTCTTATCCCTACGCCCTTGTAACGTATCAAGCCCCATATCCCCCCTAACGGCTTCATTACATGTCTTAGACGAACAGGAAATATTGTCAAATGAGGGTCACTTTGTGCAATTTGCAGGAAATTTCCTACAAATTTCCTGCACGTTTAAGGAAGAATTGGGCAGTTTTTGTAGGAAGCTTTGCTGCACCACCGTCTGATTTTCCTACATAATTATGCAGGAAGATTTCATATGGGCCACTTTAAAATTTTGTGAAAATCCCAGCACTTTCGAAAGTGAAGGCCTTTTTTCACCAAAGTGATGCCGAAATATACACCCTCACTTGTAAACATTTTTCTTATTTTGTTTGGAGACTGTTTAAAAAGAATGTATAATCCGTTTTCACTTACAGACTTTGGGCATGTTTCAAAGCATGCATGTGCAGTGTGAGTACTCAATGGCCCAGCTTTTAGAGTCACGACGGGTTAGACAGCCATCCGTTCCTCGATACACCTCCTATGTAGTGCAGAGTGCTTCTCAAGTTGTGACGAAAAAGAAGAATGCTATTCAGACTCAATAGTATTTTTGCCTTATAAATCTGGTGCCAGGCAACATCAAGCAAAATATATCTGGATGATAGGGGTTATCTTAAAAGGAATGTGGCAGTATATAAAAATTGCTACTATAAATGAGACATATT